CGTCTTCAAACTTGAAAATAAAGTCCAGAGGATTGATTTTTGACTTGTTTGGAGCCCTAATCCTAAATACCTGAATTTTTGTTGTTGATAAATTTGTACATTTTCACACCATTCCTTCATTAATTTCATGTTTATGAATTTAATCCAAGTCTATGATGGGTTTTCTTTACCCTGCAGGTGCGAATCTTTGTGAACCAGCTCTATGACCCCTCCTATGTGTCTGCTGGGGGAAGACCCGACTACCGCAGCGACATGTTGGCCATCCGCTTCGCCTCGTTCAACCCCATCCTGGACCCCTGGGTCTACATTTTATGCAGAAAGAACCTGCTGCTGAAAGGCTGTGGAAGGCTAAAGAACGCGATCACCAGGGTCAAGGACGGCCGTGGGGGGGAGAAGAGCTGGGTGGGGGGTCAAACCTCCCCTCCCTCCATTCACAGCAACGACACCAGTTATGCGTCATTACGCACAGCCAGCTTCAGGACCGGCACAGGACACCAGATGTCCACCAAGAACACCTCTTTCACAGACTTCGCGATCCGGCAGGCGTGGGAGTACGATACGGCACGTGTCAACTTCCACCCGTTCAGTGTGGAATCCACCGCGTTCGGCGGCGAGGAAGACGCGGCGACGCGCTCTGGAAGGGAAGCCGTGGAGGAAGCTTCTCCTGGGCGTGGAGGCGTGGTGATCATCCGGAGAGGAGACATCGTTACCTGCACCTTCAGCACCCCGAGCTCCAGTCAGTCAGCTAAATGCTTCTGAAGCACTCAGGTCGGGTTCCTGGACCCACGCGGGGAGATTTAACAGGACCGGGTTCCTGGATCCACGCAGGGAGATTTAACAGGACCGGGTTCCTGGACCCACGCGGGGACCATACCAATACGCGTTCTTGAGGGTTTTCTGATTTCCTCTCATTCTTCCCACAAATCTGTTTTTTGTTCTGTCAGACATCTTCTCTGAACAATCGCCTCCTTTCTTCCACCTGTGAAGAACTGAGTCAAACAAGTCTCAGTGAAGCCTTTCATAAATTAGATGGGGGGCCAACAGGGGCCAGGGGCCCTGTAGACTTGGTCCTGGCTCCTATTTTGGCCTCTATACTGAAGACTAAAGGAATTTTTCACATGCCAGACTTTTAACGGGATGCTTGAATCAGTTTAATTTCTTCACAGTTACACCTAACAATGATTTGAAAATGAAGGTGTTGAACTTTTAGCTTCAGCCTAACTGACGTTAAATTATTCGGCAAAGTATTAGGGCCAGGCTAGAGATTATTTTCATTTTTATTTCAAGAATAAAGTAAAAAAAAATATGAGAATAAAGTGATAAAATTACAAAAATAAAGTCCCAACATTTTGAAAATAAAGTCATAATATTATGAGAATAAAGTTGTAATATTACCAGAATAAAGTCGTAATATTATGAGAATAAAGTTTTAATATGAGAATAAAGTCGTAATATTATGAGAATAAAGTCGTAATATTACCAGAATAAAGT